CCCCCCCCCCCCCGTCCAGTTGCGCTGCAGCTGTCATTGCCGCGTCCAAGGCAAACGTCTTCATAGAAACAAAAGGGGTTTGTCACCGGTTGTGCTGCACACACCCAAACACACATGCAGAGCTTGCAAACTCTCGCGGGACCCACAATCCCCCGCCCCTCCACACAGACCACAACAAGATTTAAATTTCAAGCATTCTCTGATGCTGGCCAGATACCAGAAGAGAAGGAAGGACGAGTTGGAAGAGAAGAAGTATTCAGTTAAACAGGCATAGAGGAGGAGTTGCTAAACAGATTAAAGTCATTAAATTAGCTCTCCCCCTTTCTTACTCAGCCCCATTGGCCCGGCCAGAGTCTAAGCCTTCACCCATGACCCGTTTAAGATCTAACTTGATTAGTCAATTCCTCCACAGATTTACCCTCGCTGGCTGTCATTTTCATTCATTCCTCAGTCGTCACGGCTGGTTTAAGAGTCACAAAACAGACGGAAAGAGGAGGAGGGAAAGTGTTGAGGAGGGCCAGAGGATTAAGCTTTTTGGTTTTTCCCTTGGGGGTCATACTGTGGTGTAAAACTCGCTAACTGCCATGCCGGTGTGTTGCACTCTGGATCACGGCGTTCACTAAATGACCCGTTCTTCACACGTAACGCTGTTGTGGTTGTGCCGTAAGTTAAAAGGCTCACACTCAGGCCTCAGTCTGTGTCAAGAGGCTAGAAACCACTTAGTGTGGCTAAGTGACAAACACAGGTGGAGGGCATAAAGGACCTGTTATTGACTTTTCTGGGTCATTTATTTACTCATGAGAGAACACCTGTCAACGGGAACATTTACTTTTCCCCCCTTCTCTCCAATCTACAATCCATTTCTCGAAAACAATTATTTAATGCCATTATCTTCCTCAACATCCTGTTTTTTTAATCTCTCTCCACATGTTCCACTCTCCCCCCCCCACATGGTAACCTGGCAGCATGTTAAATTAAGCTGCCATTTTGATTTTCTCTGTGCGTTTACTCTCCTAAATCCACCCCCCCCCTCCTTTACAACTCTCAGGGGAAGTTTTATATTAACTTGCTGAGCATTTCACCTGCCTGTGTGTGTGTGTGTGTGTGTGTGTGTGTGTGTGTGTGTGTGTGTGTGTGTGTGTGGGGGTGGGGGTGGGTGGGTGTGAACCAGTGCCTTTGTATGACTTTTGATGTGTGCAAGCGCACATTGGGGTCCAGGTTCTCTTTGTGTCTGCCTCTCTGCCTGAACAATAAATGCTCACACAGACACACACACACGCACGCACGCACGCACGCACGCACGCACACACACACACACACACACACACACACACACACACACACACACACACACACACCTAAGTAAATAAGGTATGCATCCCCACTGTGGTGCTCAATAACTTCAATAAACACGCCTGTCAATCATCTACACACACAGAGACTCTGCAGATTTGGAGGCTGATTTGAGTGTGTGCGGGCGGGCAAGTACAGAAAATGTGTCTGCATCATGTGCACACACACATTCTTTTAGGCAAATAAAAACGTCCCACTTTCAGCGTTTTTTTCAATCAGCTGGCAGACTATGTTACCCGATTAATGCAGGAAGGACTTTCCACATTATAAACACTTCAGAGGTCAATTCTTTGCGGCGCTTCACACCATTTGGAGAGTTTTAGTGTGGTAAAAATAGGCTTATACTCTCTTTTTTCGCTCAGTGTCCTCCTCTTTCTCTCTCTCCCACACAAACACTTGTACAGAACAACACCTGTGAGGCTGCCTGCTGGGAGGTCAATGCTAGAGGTCATCCTTCTTTTCTTCTCCCTTAGACACACACACACACACACACACACACACACACACACACACACACACACACACACACACACACACACACACACACACACACACACCCACCCCCCTCTTCCCTTTTTCTTCGAGGCTACTCCACCTCCCACACACCCACCTGGTTCTCCTCAATAACAAGATTTTGCACCACCTCGACAGAACAATGCAGCTTTTCTGTGTTTGCTCAGTAAATGGCACTTATTTATTTACATTCCTTGTAATGTTATATGATGTCACTGTAAATCAGCAGGAGGATCAACACTGATATGCGCAATTATCACAATTAAAAAAACAAACGGTAAACTCGACAATATTTTTAAAGAAAACATTAATTATATGGCTTGTTTTTCCCATAACAGCCTTTTGGTTAGCATTCTACAAGTGAGGGATTATATTAAATATTTTCTGACTTTTTTTATATATGCCAACTCAGGAGAGAGTATATTGGATTTCATTGAACTGAGAGAAGGAAAGAGGAAACGATGGAGAGAGAAAGGGAGAGGCCGAGTCGTGGCATGCCTACCTAATTCACAACAGCTGAAACAATGCAGGACCTGCGAGTGGAAAGACTAAGAAGTCACACACACACACACACACACACACACACACACACACACACACACACACACACACACACACACACACACACACACACACACACACACACACACACACACACATGTCCTCCAAACAAAAAATGTCCTCACAGATGAGTTGTTTCTCAATGATTTCAAATGTTCAAGTCATAACAATCCTTTACTTTTTCCAATTGGTTTCTTATACAGAAACAACAAATAGGAGGAGACGTGTGTGCGGGCAGGTTACAGGAAAGTTTCTCCGGTGAAATAAATTGATGAGATTAGAGAAATGATGTTAGTGTGATCCGATCAGCCCCTTGGAGAAACAAATCGAACACACACATATGGACAAACTCAGAGTGGCAGACACACTAACGGACATGAACACGCTGACAAAGTATTCCAGGAAAACAGAGCCACAGTCCAGATGACGGGTGATTGGATAATCTGAGCAGTCATGGGAGGGTTACTGGGTTCTGACACACTGAACTCTGGCCGTACATCTCAGTGTGAATTAGGCAAGCTAACATGGATGCTTACTGCGGACATTTTGTCAATTTGTTACTTAAACTCTTTGGCATGTTCTGAATTGGCAGGACTTTACTTTACTGCAACACATTTTTTTTTCAATTATTATTTTTGGCATTTTTGCCTTTATTTGACAGACTAGACAGAGAGTGAAAATGTGGAGAGTGAGGAAGGCATGTCACGCTAAACAAAAGTCCAGAGGCTGGAATTGAACCCCGGATTGTTGTGCGCTGTAACCACAGTTGTATAAAGTCGCTCCAGCCGTGTTTATTTTTCATCATTTGTTTCATATACTTTCAAGTAGTTGGGTTTATCATGTGGTTTTGATGATTTAAATAGATATATGTATACAGTTTATTCAGAATGATACATGGAGTGCTTATTTGTGGGAAGCAGACGGCTGTCAAACCAAAACAGCTGAAATACTGATGGGCTTTCAACAACATAAAATGCGTACCAGATACATTTTTTTGTGTTTATTTTAACTTTTTAAAGCTTAATATGCAGTTTTACACCGAGATTTAAGATTAGACTAATGATTAGGATTTCCAAACCTGAACAGAAAGGTTGTTTTAAACCTTACCTAGGGTTTCTCTAACATGTAATGCTTAACATTTCAGTGGTGTATTTTAACAAAGGGTATATTTCCTTTTTTAATCTATTTTTGACTGTTAATTACTAAAATGTAAATGTGTAGGCAGTTCTAGGTGAAAATTAGGAGATGTTCCAGCGTCACAGCGTGGATCCCAACACACCCAGTGAGCTGCTGGCCCAGAGTGGCTCCACGTCTACTCCCGTCATTAAACAGTTGCTGACACAGTCGGTGCGGGGAAAGGCAGTGAGTCACGAGTTTACAGATAGAGTGAAGAGACTACAGCGTGATGATGTGGAGAGCAGAGACTATCAGAGAGATAAAACCATAGAGAGGAGGAGTTTGAAGGTGTGAAGGAGAAGGAGCTGGAGGGGGTGAGGACAGGGGAGGCGTGCAGCCATGATTTAGGGACAGGGGTTATAACAGACACGTGTGCACTAGGACACACAAAGACACACTCTGGCCTCCTGTTCTGCTGTCGCCGGGACTAACTAGCCCTTCACAGGAATGTCCATCTGCAGCTTTGGGCTTAGGGCCTCTGAAACGCCCCTCTGCTAAAACACCAGTGTGTGTGTTTGTTTTGCAAAACTTGTGGGTATCAAGTATTGTGAAACAACTGGCGCTGTGAGGACTTTGTTGGTTGTTAGGACCTTCTCTGTGTTTCTGTGTGTCTTCTCATCCCACCCAGGGACCAGAGATGTCAGCTGCTTAGGAACGGAGCGAGCCAGGGGCATGCAGGGGGATGTTGATGCCGCACCCTAATGTGTGTGTATTTGTGTGTGAGGGTGGGGTGAAGAGACAGCTGAGATTCTAGATTGCACCCAGAAAAAGACTGGAATTAGAAGCATCCTCCTACACACCTATCATCATCCCATAGAGAGACTCTAAATACAAACACAGATTCCACAGTAGCACATATGTGCACTGTATGCATTGTCATACTTGTGCTGTCTCCAAAACCACTCCCTTTACAGCAGATACTCAGTAGCATTCTATATTAGTGGCTAAAGTATCATCTTCATCTGCAAAATGCGACACACAGCATTACGGGATTGTGTGTACATAAGATGGACTCAACCTCAATCAGTGCATTGTGGCTGTTTCGAGGGCAGTGCACAAGGTTCAGACTCTTTAGACACACGCTTAAAATAGCTGACATGAAATAAAGCACATTTCATAGTAAACAGGAAGTGATTTTTCTTCACACACGATGGCGTTCTACTTTATGATAACCGTGACGATTGAGCCTATTTTTTTTCTATTTTCGAGCGTTATTATATATGCTATTTAAAAGAAATATGTGGTGTTTTGGTATGAATACTGAAGGCATAAAAGATTTAGTATTTAAAGGTCCCATGTCATGGCCATTTCTACTGATCATAATTCCATTGTTGAGGTCTACTAGAATAGATTTACATTGCTCAATGTTCCAAACTCACATTGGTTTCTCATACAGCATCTCTGTATAGTATGTGTATTCACTACACGCCTTGTTGAGCCCACTGTGCTCTGATTGGTCAGCTCGCCCACTCTGTTCTAATGAGTCTACCACCGTTACAGCTGGTCATCAGTGATTATGTGTTACAAACAGAAAATGACACCAGTAAGGACAAACAGATGAGAATGCTGCGTGGGGTCTGGGTGCCGTGTTGGTGGGACGTTGCACGGCTCGCAGCAGCGAGGAGCGGACAGTGTGAGCTGGGTTCATTTCCTGCTTGCTGCGTGGGGTCTAAAACATTTTCTATATACACAAAATAACCATTTCTCTCAAATATTGTTCAGAAATCTGAAAAAATCTGTTATAGTGAGCATGGTTATTTTGTGTATATAGAAAATGTTTTAGACCCCACGCAGCAAGCAGNGGGCTCGTGAATTGTTGGTCCGGAAACAGAGGGGTTTTAGGTTGCCATAAGGCTGTTGACGGTCTTATTATGGGCTACATCCATTGGTTGGTTTTTGTGGCACATTTGTAACGCTGTGCCAACTCGGGCAAGCACGCAGGCAAACTTGAGGAGCGCACACAGGGTGGAGAGGTGGAGTGAGGTTGAGCGATGGAGAGAAAGGAAGAGAGAGAGATTGAGCGAGGCAGAGAGTGTGCAGCGGTCTGCTTGCGCACAGAGCAGTTTGTGAGAGAGCCGGCTTGAGAGTCAATTTCTCTTCAAAATATAATTGATTGCCAGCCTCCCTTGTCCCTGGCTGGCTTGCTAGCTCGTTGGTAACGTAACCGATTTCTTCTAATGTGCCTGCATCTGGCGCTGAGTTGCCATATTCCTTTCATGAACCACTTCCTGATATCCAGTGTTGCAGATAAATATAAATGATAATAGCCAAACTAACCTAGCAAGAGTAAACTGACAGGCTGCTGTGCCGCATCTCACTCAAACACCCACATGACTCAACCCAGCGAAAAACCAGTCTCGCGCGCAGCCTTTCATTCAGAATTTCATAGCAAAATAAAAGAATGATATTAAACCAATCTTTCAACATAGTTTAAAACAAAAATAAATATTAGGACAAAGCCCTGCAAATAACAACAATAAACATAATAAAAAAAACAATTAAAATGTTGTATTCAGCCCTGATTAAAACAGCGGGCCCAAATCCTGGACGGGCGGGCCAGCCCCCATGGGGCCCGCCCATGACGCTGGGTCTGACGATGCGGGGTGTGTCTCTAGACATCTTTAGACTGGAATAGCGGGGCCCAGTACGTGAACTCGCCTCGCAGGTGCACATGCCAGGATAGAGGACATCAGAGTCCAGAGAAAATTTGCTTGAGTCAATGTACAAGTCGAGTCCGAGTCATCGTGGGGGGGGGAATTCACGAGTCCGAGTCCAAGTCATCGTGCACGAGAATTCACGAGTCCGAGTCGCGTCAAACAGTGCGTGAGTCCGAGTCGAGTCACGAGTCCCGAAAATCGGCACTCGAGTCCAGGACTCGAGTGCTCCATCTCTGCTAAGACAGAACAATTATATGACAACACCAACTTCTGAACACTAACGCTCATTATATCAATATGCAGTGCTGTCAACTAAACATTGATCAGGTTGCTTAATGTGATTATAAAAACATTTGACACATAACTAAGACTAAATAAATAGATGACACATTTTCCGGGCACGTTTATGTTTGAGTTTATGGATATACAGTACAATTTCTGATACAGAGCACTGATGAGATTCAGGGGGAGTTGTGTTTTTGTAGCATACTGTTTGCTCTTTACACTTTAATCACTTTTTTCAACTCTCTCCTCCTGAACCTGATTTGGATTGCCAACAAAAAGCTAGTGTATGTCCAAAATATTCTTGAGCCATATATTAAAACAATGCTGAGTCTGCAGGTAGCTGTGGAAAAACAGCAGAACATAAGAGCTGTGGAATCCTAAAAGTCATGAATTGATGTAACATTTTCCACATAAAGCTGTTATAAGTGAAAAAGAGGAGAGCTATGTATAGTGAGGGTCACAGCGTGTGTGTATATGTGCCGATGTATGTGTGTTTTTGCTCAGTGTCAGTGCGCTGAGAGAGAGCAAATAACCAGAGCTGTCAGAATAGTTTGACTGTTTGACCCACAGTAGTCATACTGTATATGGTCACTGTGGGTGAAATGTAAACAGGAGGCTGGAGAATGCAGCACGCACGCTATTGCTTATTACTTATTTGATGCATTCCAGCTTCCATGTAAGGGTAGAGCTATCACAGGAGCCTTTGACTGTTTACTGTATAACACCACAGCAGCAGTCCTCTGTTATTCAGATGTCTTACTTCTCTTTTTATACTATTGATCATCTGATGTCATTGTTGTTGAGAGAAAAGTTGCCGGAGATCAGATGACTCAGATAATGCTGCTACTGTCTCCTTGTATCACCCAGACAACATCTATTTTGACATGCTGTTATGTTACATCAGTTCTGGATTGGTCACACTTCATTGTGCTAGTACCTAGTCAAATATAACCACACTTGCTCCACATGTTTTATTAGGGGATCACATCACCGTCCTCTATTTAGAGTTCATTTAAGGTTTGCTTAGTTGTGACTTTGTATCAATCAATCAATCAATCAATGTTTATTTATATATCCCAATATCACAAATGTTACATTTGTCTCAGTGGACTTCACAGTTTGTACAGAATATCAGAGTTGCAAACGAGCTACAGCAGCCCAAAACATTTCCAGTAGCAGAAATGCGCTACAGTTTAAAAAACAATGCAAATACAAAAACACGTGAAAATTAAGAAACATCTTCCCCAACTTGAAAATACATGCGCAGCATTTAGAAGACACTCACCAACTCGACGAAGCGCGTTACTCCCAGTTCAAATGTTTTGTGCTGTTGTAGCTGCTAGTTGCTGTTTGACCTCATCGGCCACCGAACTTTTGTGATCATTTGCGATTGCACTCCAAGAAAATGCCCTGAAAAATAAAAGAATGAACAGATTTGGTAGCTTTTTTTAAAGCGTTGTTCTGTGCTTTTATTCAACAATAACAACAAATATTTACCCCGCCACCGCCTTCTCTTTTTGTGCTTTTTTTTAATCTTTCGGCTGCAAGGCACTTAATTTAGTATTTTTCATTGTGATGCACTTGATAATGAAATACAAGTTTTGACTGGATTGCTCCTAACACCTTCTGCGCCGTCTCCTCTGTAACATCTCTCCTCTTCTCCTCCATCAGATCGAGCAGTGCTGCTCCTCCCTGGAGTCCCGACTGCAGGGCGTGGGTGAGGTCCAGTCTCACGTGCGCGATGTCTTCTCTCGCATTGCCGACCTGGATGATGAGCTGGACTCCCTCGGACCAGTTGGACGCGACGCAGACTCCCTGGCCTCTCAGGCCGACGCCCTGAAGGGCTACCTGTCCCGCCTGGGCGACCTGAGGGCGGAGCTGGAGGGTCACAACACAGACTGCACCACCATGCTGCGCCGGGAGGGCTCCTCCCCCGACCTCCTGGCTCTCAGGAGGGAGACGGAGGCTCTGAGCCGCCAGGCCTGCAAGGTGAGGGAGGAGGAGGAGGAGGAGGAGGAGGAGGATGATAATAATTATAATAACCATGATGATCATCATGGCACAGTTATTGACAACATGAATTAGGGATGGATCTCACCCTTACGGCATCATCACCATACTTAAGTCACAATACAATAAGCAATTTTAAACATATTGCAATAACATATTTCCACTTCTTATCCTTTTTGGAGAATGTAAAACCAAAAGATCTGAGGCAGCAGCAGGCAGACGATAATGCATAAAGAAATGTAAAAAGAAGGTAAAAAGTAAATATGAACATATATGGGGGTGAAATGCAAAGGGGGAAGAAATATATATAGATACATTTTATACATGAAATAAAAACAAATACAAAAATGAGTAAATCAATGTTAAAGCTAATGCAAATAAGAAATTGTAGTACATTTATTTTTAATCTTATTTTGGTCTGTTATTTTTTTATTTCTCATCAGAAATAATCTCAGCATTCAGTGGATTCAATTATGTATCGCAACACAAAATACCGCAATTCAATGCTCTGTCGATTTTTTAAATATCCGGTCACAGTTCATTAATCTTTTGCTCCTTATCCTACAGCTCAGCGAGCGTGGCCAAGGCCGGCTGGATCAGATCGACGACGCTGCAGAGAAGGTTCGGGAATTCTACAGGCTGGTGGCCGAGCTGCAAGGCATGCTGGGAAGTGCTGAAAATGGGCTGAACTCACAGGGCATGGTCGGCACGGAGGTGGAGATGATCAAACAGCAGCTGCAGGAGTTCAAGGTAGGGGGGACTACTTCTTGCTGGTTATCTACGCGGATGAATCATGTATGGATACGTGGGTAAAGTGGATTATGTCAGTGTGTATGAGTACATGTGTATTTGTCATGCTTCATGGTGTAGCTGGTAACATGAGATACTCCGACTGAATTCTGGGAGAAAAAGTTGTGTTCAGTCTGTTCCTTTCCCATCATACCACTGAAACTCATTTGCACGGATAAACCGAAAACCTTCGGCTCAGGTTTAGGACACAGCTCTGTGTGTGCGCTATGAATAAGGACATGTCATCTCTGTGGAGCCTCTGAGGAGGCCTTTCCTCTTGTTCAGACCTCTGGAGACCATGAGGTAACGGGGTGTGTTGGTGTGCGTGTGTGTAAGTGTGTTAAGGACTCCCGTGGTTTGTCAGGAGTTAGACGGTGAATTTGAGTCACACATCTCTCTGAAAGGCCTGACACGCTGCTGAATCACGTGGCTCTTTCTCTATAGGACACATATGATGCTTCTCTTTACATTTCACACAATCCACCAACACTTTCTTAGACATTCTTTATGATGTATAGTCACCGCCCTGCTTATGCTTTGAACTTGTTAGCGTCATCATGGTAAAGTACAGTAACAATTCAATAACCTTGCAAATCAGACGTCTCTTTTCTTTCTATCAATGAACAACATGTGGTTCTCTAACAATACCATTATGTTGCTTTGATCAATCTGCAAACAGTTAAACAATGACTCGATTCCTTGATTATCAAAATAGTTGGTGATTATTTTTTATGACAAAGCAATTCCTATAATTATTTGCATTGCCAAAATCAAATTACTCAAAGATGTTTTCATTTATATTAAGCAAGGGAATGTAGATACAAAATTAAAAGGTTTTAAGATGTGAGGATCATACAAAAGAAGCAACATTGCTAACACATGTTGAGTAGAAAAGCCTGAAGAGTAAAGTAGGTATAAAAACAAACAATTATTTATGCAGTACGTTTGTAATAGTTCAATATTTATTTTATGACATTTGAAAAGAAAATACAAAAATTACAATTTCCCAGAGCCCAAAATATGGCCCTCAATGTTTTTATTTACAAAAAAAGAACTGTAAATCCATCCCATTTGTGAAGCTTGAATCCACAATTATGAGGTATTTTTGGAAATAAAGGATTTATTATAATGATAACAATTATTGTTGATTCATTTTAATATAGGATATAGAGTTATCCTCTAATTAAATAAGAAAAATAAAACACATTAATAGCTACTATGCTAAAAAGTGAGGGTACTCACTCATGTTGTTTAGTTTAATACCTGTGTGTATTTAGAGAAAAAGAGCAGGCCTCACATAAACACATTCAGTAGTAGTTGATTGTTTCCTTAGCATCGGGGCTGACCTCAGGAATGGGCCTGGTATTTCATTACTCCTCCGCTGCTCTCTTCATGGCTGCACACGTCTCTTTCAGTCTCTCTTCTGTCATTAAACGGCACGTTTTCTCGCCATGATGTCATATCCTGTCCACTTTAGAAAGTATTTAAGTGTGTGAGGGCTCAGGAGAAGTATGATTCTAGTGTTTTGAGCATTAATCATTTTCATACGTTTGGAAAATGTAGTAGGACTCCTGCTCGTTCTTCAGAGAATGATCGACTCCACTATTGATAACACGTGTGGGCGGATCAAAGATTCATGATTCTTTTCATACACATTCCTGCTTTAACATTCCTACTCCCTCTCCTTTTATCTTCTTTTAATTTGGGTATTTAATAAAACATCTCTTTCCTTTAAGTAATGACCTCCTCTTCATCTCTTCTCTCTGTTTCTGGGTCTCTCGTCCTCCTCCGCCCTCGCTGCATGCTGAGTAAATGTGTGGCAGAGAACAAACAGACAGAGCAGATAAAGAGAGAGGTAGAGAGAGAGGTAGAGGTAGAGAGAGAGGTAGAGAGAGAGGTAGAGGTAGAGAGAGAGGTAGAGAGAGAGGTAGAGAGAGAGAGAGGTAGAGAGAGAGAGGTAGAGAGAGAGGTAGAGAGAGAGGTAGAGAGAGAGAGAGAGAAAGAGCTAAATAGGCTGCTAATGAGAGGCGGATCAGACAAAGAGCATGAAGCTGTTACATGTGTTCAGCTTACAGGTGCACTGACAATCTGTTTTATGAAATATATTACATGATTTAAAAAGACAGTTGCTGTTTGCTCAGAACTGGTCAAATGGCATAATGTTTAATCTTTTATATTTGTGAATTCAGCTTCAAGTTATTTAATTTATAATATTTCATAGAGCTACACAGTTAAGTTGACTAAGCGAGTAGAATGACAAAAATCGCTTTTACCACATTTTGTATTCAAAAATAGCAGATAAATGCTGATTTCCTGCTTTTATCTGTTTTATAATACATCAAAGTAAATATATTTTTGTTTTTGACTTAAAAAATACATTTACAGACTTCCGCTTGTCTTTTGAGAAACTGGGATGAATATTCCTCCCTGTTTTCTGACATTTTAAAGACCAAAATAGAACAATAAACAATTAATATCTTTAAAAAACCAGCATGCCAGTTGTTCATGAAGATAATTGTGAGTTGCAGGACTACTTTTTTGCAAAACAATTGTAAAATGTCTTGTAGTTTGTGCAGGTACTTGCCTGTTTTATATAAAAAAGGGAAAGTTATAGTACTTCCAGGCATTACTAAGACCAAATATAATACGATAAAATACTAGGTGTTCATCATTTTGATTCTCTGATTAAGAATTCTTCGTTAAAACTGTGAACTTTGAGCTGACAGAGCAGCAGACAGACCTGTGGCAGACTGGGTGCTAAAGTAAAATGAGGGGCAGAATGTTTAATGGCTGCTGTCTGAGGGGGATATAGAGCATGGGAAATGGTCTGCCACTCTATCTGGGGGCAAGCAGGGTATTTATAGGAGGACAACGAAAGGATGATACAGGGGACATATTGTGGTCATGCAGAGCAGGATCACGAGGCAGGCATACAGATGCATGGAAACAGATAAGGAAATAATGGGATAGAGAGTACAGTGTCCTCTTTCTGACCCTCCTTGGACTCTAATGAGTCTTTTCTGTTTGTTAGCCTCCCAGAGTGAGGGGTGGATGCAGAAAATACCTCTTTTGTAAACTGCTTTATTTCTTTTCTCCTTATACTTTCTACCCCCCTCTGTTTCTCTCTGTAACTGATCCAGCTCGGCTCATTTCAAACCTAAACATGTCTGTCTGGCTCCCAAACAGAGCAGGCCCCCCCTCTGCCATCCCCGACCATACCCCAATCCAAAGGGGTGATGTCATGCCGATGCTTAGAAATACTGAGGGTGTGGGTGGAGGGTAGCTATGGGAAGAGGGGTCATGGGAGTGGGAGGTGATGTTGTCAGATTATTGTTAAACTTTCCAACGGTGATCTCACAGTGAAATACTGTTTCAATGAGAGAGTGAACGAGCAGACTTCCGCTGTCTTCTTCGTCTTTATTAGCATTCCTTACAGAAATTAGCATAATAATTAAAAAATTAAAAAAGTCAATACTTTTTTTAGTACCAACCGATATGTGTTTTTAGTGTCAAGAATTGAAAGCTGGCTTGAAATAATTTGCCTATACTTATTGTTTAAATACAATGTATTCTTTAAATACAATTCTTCTCAGTCTATTAGGGAGATTACATTACCATTTAAAGGTCCCATGTCATGCTTTTCCGGTTATTACCCGTCCCCTTGTGTGTTATGAAGCTAGTGGAGCCTCGCAGATGGGGGTACTGCAGCCCCCTTAGCACCCCCTTCCCGCGTCCATTCGCTATGTCTCGCTGTCTCGCAGACCCCA